ATATTCAAGCTGCATTGGAACAGCAAGAAGGAAAAGTAATAGTTTTTTTTTTTTTTAATTTGATTTTTTTTTTTTATCTATTTTATTTATTTATTTTTTTTTAATTTTATATTTTATAGGTAATTTCCTGAAGAACTATTAGTCGTATTCTTCAGAAATCTAACCTGTTCGCATGTGTTGCTTCCACAAAGCCCTTCATTAATAGCAAAACTAAAAAAGAGTATCGAGATTGGGCGGAAGAGCATCTTCACTGGGCGACCAAAGAATAGAAGAATGTTCTTTGGTCAGATGAAAAGTATTTTTGTTTAATTCATCCTAATCTATACCAGTACGTATGGAGAATGCCACATGAAGAGTTTGATGATGATTGCCTTGTTCTGGCAATTAAATCTAAAGGGGTTATGATGTGGGGATATTTTTCTTGGTGGGGTCCTGGCCCTCTTGTCCGTCTCCATGGCAGTGTCACAAGTGTATCTTATCATCGAACGCTTAGTCATTATGCCATTCTCAAGCTTCAGGACCAATACCCCAACGGTAATGGGATATTTCAACATGATGGTACCTCGGTCCACAGGGGCAAGATTGTTAAAAGATACGTAGCTAACAAGGATATTAAAATAATCAAATGGCCTCCGTACAGCCCGGACCTTAATCCTATCGAGAATCTTTGGTTCGAGGTTGAAGAAAAGCTTCGAAAACATCGTCCAAGACCCGGTAATCTTAATGAGCTTGAACAGATAGTTATAGAAGAATGGGAATCATTATCTCAGAGCAATTTTAGGCATTTAGTTAAAAGTGAAGTAGACCGTGTCAGAGAAGTATACAATAAAGATGGTAGTCATTCGCACTACTAATTTTTAGATAGTGATTACACTAAGTATAAGGATCATTTATTTGTGATAGTTACTATAAATACAGTTAAACATTTGCTACATTAGTATAAAAAATATTTGCTAAATTAATATAAAAAAAAAAAATCAAATTAAAAAAAAAAAAAACTATTACTTTTCCTTCTTGCTGTTCCAATGCAGCTTGAATAT